TGATAATGCTCTGTATAGATTCCGAATTGTATCTGTTATTCATTCTCTACGTATTCTTTCTCAGCATGATTTTAATGCAGACATCTTCAATAAAGAAATCGGACTATTCTCATCTTTATCTCTACAGTAAATGGGTCATTTGCAATAAAATATGTCTTTGCTTTTAAACCAAATTTATGACATTTTCTTTAGCATTGTTTTGGATGAAAATGAGACTGTAAAATGCTTCTGACCTCCAACTGATGCTCGTTCATGCTATGTAAATTACCTCCCTCCTTCGTTAGTTCATGTCGACAAATTGTACTTTATAAAGTAACCAGACACCTCACCATAAAATAAAGGTAATTATAAAACCAGAGAAATCGGTTATTGACTAATTTGTCAGTTTCTTGGATTAATGAATTACTTTTCAATATAAACATCGGGGTTATCCAGGAGTTACATTCTCAAAATGATATAATGGGTATTTTAATTACCATGCCTAAATAATACTTATCCATTATTCTATTGTACATGTGCTACTAGTAGATCAATTGATACGAGCTTCTCTTGTTTTTTCCTTTAAAATATATATTTATACAATGTATGTAAAGTATATAGTAAATTTTCATTTTTAAAAACAGATTATCACTTTTTGACGATTCATCATTTTACGAAAACTCTAATTTAATTTTTCTTCTGGCATTCGAAAGACATGCAGTTCTAAAATAACAAGCTCTGGGAGTATTGTACTTTTAAGAAATATGTCGCCTTCCGAGACCCCCTTTGCTGTTCAGGATGTCATTATATAAGACCCAGTATAGGAAAAATTGTCCCAAAGTGTGGACATCTCGGCATTACTTGCTTATGAACGAAATGACTTGAAACGCCTTGCCAAAAAGACGTGTTTGAATGCCATTAGACATGGATGCGTTTATTAGAGCAACTCATTTTTCAAGGATAAAAACCACCAATTTGATAACAAAATCAAACTTATGTATTACAATGGTTTGTCCCCATACAGCTACCCAGCAAGCTATTTACTGATACAAAAGACGAGTGTGAAAACTTTGGTTAAAAATGTAACTATCGCAGTAAAACATCCAACAAAAAGTATGCTTTCAAGCAGGTTGCCAACCTATGTTAGAGGCCTAGTCTATTTGTGGTAGTACTGGAATGGAAAAATGTGACGTCATTATACATGCTATCCCAGGAGGCACAACGTGCTCTCATCGGATGGGAACCTGTCAACTCCCGGATAATAACAGCCAAGTTCAATACTAAGGAAAGCAAGATCAAGTTAAACATCATACAATGTTATGCCCCCACAAATGACGCTGATGAGGAAAAGAAAGATGCCTTTTACCAACAACTACAGGCAGTCTTAGATAAAACAGGCAAGAAAGACATGACAGTACTCATGGGTGACTTCAATGCAAAAATTGGAGGTGACAACACAGGCTACAATGAAGTCATGGGCACACATTTGGACTGGGCTACATGAATGAGAACAGTGAGAGATTTGCAGACCTATGCTCACTAAACCAGCTGGTAATAGGAGGAAGCATCTTTCCTCATAAAAGAATTCACAAGGCCACATGCAGTTCCCCTGACCATGTTACAGAGAACCAGATCGACCATATCTGCATCAACAAGAAATTTCAAAGAGCATGGAAAGATGTCATGGTGATAAGAGGAGCAGACATTTCATCAGACCACCATCTGCTGATGACGGCATTAAGGCTACGTCTCAAGAAGTTCAACAACATAACAAACAGGAGGACAAGTTACAACGTGAGTGCCCTCAAAACAAAGGAAGTAAAGACAGCATTCCAACTCAGCTTGTCAAATAGATTCCAGCTACTACAAGACCAGCCAGAAAACAACGATACCAACATTGAGACCCAATGGCAGCACATCAAGGAAATATGGCAAGGCACATGCGAGGAAGTCCTAGGCAGAAGAAAAACTCAGCACAAGGAGTGGATCTCTGGTGATACCATGAGGAAAGTGGAGGAGAGGAAGGAAAAGAAAGCAGTGCTGAATACAAGCAGGACAAGATCAGCAAAGACAAAAGCTCAAGAGGACTACACAGCCACAGATAAAGAAGTTAAGAAAAGCATCAGGAAAGATAAAAGAGATTACATCGACAACCTGGCCAAACAAGCTGAAGAAGCAGCGGGACAAGGAAATTTGAAAGAACTGTATATGATAACAAAGAAGCTTGCCAACAAGTTCCAGCAAACAGACAAGCCAGTGAAGGACAAAAACGGGAAAACTCTTACAACAACAGAAGAACAATTAAAGAGGTGGGTAGAACACTTCAGAGAACTATTAAATAGACCATCACCAGAAACACCTCCGGACATTCAACCAGCCAATACAGACCTCCCGATAAACTGTGACAAGCCAACAAAGACAGAGATCAGGAGAGCAATTAATAAACTTAAAAATGGAAAAGCGGCAGGGCCTGATGAGATACCAGCAAAAGCGATCAAAGCTGATACAGAGACAGCCATTAACATCCTATACAACCTTTTCAACAAGATCTGGGAAGAAGAGAACATCCCAGAAGAATGGAAAGAAGGCATCCTTATTAAGCTGCCAAAGAAGGGAGACTTGAGAGATTGCAGTAATTACAGGGGGATCATGCTCCTATCAGTGCCTGGCAAGGTCCTCAACAGAATACTTCTCGAGAGAATGAAAGAGGCAGTAGACCCAAAGCTCCGTGACCAACAGGCTGGTTTTAGAGCCAACAGATCATGTGCTGACCAGATAGCCAGTCTACGCATCATTATAGAACAATCACTGGAGTGGAAGTCTCCCCTATATGTCAACTTCATCGACTACGAAAAAGCATTTGACAGCGTAGACCGAGAGACATTGTGGAAGATACTGAGGCACTATGGAGTACCAGAGAAGCTAGTCTCCCTGATTAGAAACACCAACCAAGGCATGATATGCAGAGTTACCCATGCTGGCCAGATGTCTGAGAGTTTCGAGGTCAAGACAGGAGTCCGACAAGGTTGCTTGCTGTCACCATTTCTTTTTCACTTGGTCATTGATTGGATCATGAGGACAACCACAGCAGGCAGGAACAATGGCATACAGTGGACACTCCTGACGCAACTGGACGACCTTGATTTTGCAGATGACCTGGCTCTCTTTTCACACAACCAAAATCAGATGCAGGATAAAACAACCCACCTTGCAACAACATCGGCAGGAACGGGCCTCAAAATTAGCTTGAGAAAGACAGAATTGATGAAGGTAAACACCACTGTCCAAACACCAGTCACAGTTGGTGGTGAGGCCATCAAAGAAGTTGAATCCTTCATCTACCTGGGGAGTGTGGTGGACAGACACGGTGGCACAGACTGCGACATCAAGTCAAGAATTGGCAAGGCTAGGACTGCATTCACCATTTTAAAGAACATCTGGGCCTCAAAGAGCATACGTACTACCACCAAACTGCGGATCCTCAACGCCAATGTAAAGTCCGTCTACTGTATGGTGCAGAGACGTGGAGGATGACTAAAGCTACCCTGCAGAAGATCCAGACATTTTACAACACCTGTCTCAGGCGCATCTTCAACATCCGATGGCCTGATAGGATCTCAAATGAAGAACTATGGATGAGAGCAGGACAGGAACCAATGGAGGTACAAATAAGACAGAGGAAGTGGCGCTGGATTGGACACACATTAAGGAAGTCACCATCCAGCATCACACGCCAGGCCCTGACTTGGAACCCACAGGGCAAAAGAAAACGAGGACGACCTAGAAACACCTGGAGGCGTGACTCGGAGTCGGAGCTAAGGACACAGAATATGACCTGGCACGATGCAGCCAGAGCAGCCCAAAATCGTGTTCGTTGGAGGACAGTTGTTGATGGCCTATGTTCCTCACGGAACGACAAAGCATCTCCTATTTTCATTTTTGATCGAACACATCTTTCGGGTTTTCCATTGCAAAACAATGACCTGCCTTTTTTCTATAATATTGAAGGGTACCTATCTCTTATCCACAACTCCTCCTATATCCTTGAATAAATGTAATGAAATTTTCAAAACTTCTTTGTTAGATAATGCCTTTGTGGCCCTCCTATTTTACTTTCTTATCTGACACTTATTTCTGCTTTCTCTGAGTAAACCATGCATTTTCCCATTATAATCATATGGGAGGCTGGGGGGGGGGGGTAGTGAGCTCCCAGTACCTCTACTTATAATCTGAATAGTTTTTTTTATTATAAGATTTCCTTTAGTTTGGTCGATCGAAACAATTCCAGACAGTTTCACATCACTATGTCTTCTCCATTATGAAAAGACTATAGTAATTTACTTTAGAGAGTTATCATTCGTAAGTTGTCTATCACTTCTATACACTTCACATACATGTACAGTCGCTAACTCAAAGAATTTTGGAGTAAAGTTTAATGATTAATTCCAAGTTAAAGTATGGCAACGAATAAAACGAGAAAATAAACATTGAAAGACAAACACTAGAGAAAGCATTAATAAAACAATTCCACAATTTATACATATGTGAATAATCAGTGTACAAGTTATTTATTTACAAAAATCATCACATAACTTTCAGAATTAACTAAAAAAAGGGTTTTTGTGAATATGTTTGAAAAAAGAAATACTTTAAAATGTGTCAAACTTAAGATTTCTAGATATAAATGTACAACTATATATTGTATTTGGAAATAGTTGTTACCATGTTTGCAACATATATTTAAAGACTGAGTAATTTCATCTTCGAAATTTTTGACACAGTAGGGGTAAAGAGCATTAAGAAAAATATCTACCACAACATAAATGTGAAGTGTGTTAGTGTGAAAAAGTAATCAGTTAAATTGTACAATACAATTATAATTTTAATTCCAGCATAAATTCCTGAAATAAAATGTCACTTTGATGAAAAGTTTTGGTTAATAATTGCGTATTTAAATAATAATAATAAAAAACAATGTTAAAATATTACATGCTGTTACATGTAATCAGGTTTTTTTTTTGTCATGTCCCAAAGGCCAGTTGACAGATTAGCAAGACCATCACTGTTTTTCCGAGTAATAGTAGAAATCATCCGAGGGAACGGTGTTGAAGGTTTTTCCGATTTCTGCCGTGATGTCGTTGAAAGATGGTCGTTGTTTTGCTTTCCTCTGCCAGCATTGTTTCATCAAATTATAGTAGCTACATGAAGTAAAAAAGAACATATCTGTATTAAAGATTTTGGTAATTGTGCCTAAATTTAAATACTATAAGAAGTTTGGAAAAACTCTTCCATATTTTAAGTAACAAATAACATAAATTAAACAATTTGGACTCTTACTGAACATAGTTTTCCTTGGGGAAAAATCATCTTTAATATTGTTTCGAAATTTATTTTTAAAAAATTAAAATATTAATGATTATAATAAGCTTATGAGATTTAAAGGAAATAGCTGATAAGTTTGATTTATTTTTTAAAAGTTTTAGTGCTTGATATAAGAATAAAAAGAGGCTCTTACAAATCATTGGCGAATTCAGGACGATTCATTCGGTTTCCGTTTCTCAGGTGCATCTGAACATCTCTGCTTCTTACACCGGGATATGGAACATCACCTAGAATATTTAGCTCAACAGATTTAATTAAAGAACTATTTTCGCTTGATGAAAACAATTTACAAGTAACATTAACAAACATTTCTGTTTTATGTATAATATAAAGCATACCAAAGCTGAAAATTTCCCATAAAACGATACCAAATGACCAGACATCACTTTTGGGTGTCGCATATTTCATGGACACTAAACATTCTGGAGCTGCCCACTTAATAGGAATACGCTCCTACAAAGAAAATTTATATACACCTTTGTTTACTTTGACGTCTATATCTGCATGGGGTGGGTGTTTGGGGGGGGGGGTATATCCATCCCCAAATGAAAGGGTTACATTTGTTATAATATTAATATTATTAAAATTTGATTTATTAACGTCTACTTTAATTTTAAAGAACCGAACCTATAATAATTATATGTTTTAATTATATAAATACACACTTTGTCCTCTTTTACATCACCATCATCGTCTTTGTGATCGCCTTCTGTTGTCTGTTGTTGCGGACAAAATCCGTAGATTTTTGGCTCCAGTTCACTGTTCAGAAGCACATTCCTAGCCGCAAGTCTTCTATGAACCAACTTGAAAATAAAAAAATATTCATCGATTTCAAGAACAAGGAAAAATAATCTGGATTTAAAAGGGTAATAAAATACTTGAACGCATCCTAGGTGGAAAAAAAATTACACACTCGACGTAACAAAAACCTAAATTAATACTTTTCTGTTTTCAAAGTGAAGCATTCCTTTCGAAATTCCATAAACAATTCGACAAAGCTGCTCAGATGTTTCTTCGTTGGCACTAGATTTTTGCTCTTGCAACCATGTATTCAATTGACCCAGTTCGCAGTATTCAAGTACCATGTATGGACCAACTGTGGAAAAAGATGGTTCTATTAATGTACTGTACAGATACAAGTTTTTATTTTATTTTCTTATTCCATAAATGAATTAAGGTATCAAAAAGCGAAACATTGCCTCTCAAAAAGCACATAAATCAGGCAACACTCGATTTCGAATTTTGTCACATCTATCATGCACACAAGAATACACTACCCCCCCCCCCCCTCTCACCCTACGATCATATTACTTATCCTGTAACTTTGTGCGAGCCACTAAATCAGCGAATTATATGGAGTTAAAGTTCTAAAGAAATTTTAGATATCACACCAACTCCTTGTTACACGATTGACAAGAAAAATATTTGAAGACATCGCCACCTCGAATAATTTTCCACTCAAATATCAAACTCCTGAACGTATTACATGTACAAATTGTAAGATTCTCTATCAGAACGAGCATAAAATACTTACCGTATATCAAGTACAACTTTCATTTTAAAAGATATATATTCTGTAGAAAAATATGTAAATAAATTCTCAAAAGATTCTTACGAGCCATGTCATCGAAAACCGCCCCATAAAAGTGTAAAATATTGGTATGTTCTCCAACTTTGGTAGCATAGAAATTTATCTTGGCCCGCATGCTTATCTGCTGTTCTTCAGTGTATCCATCTAAAGAAGCCAAAAAGGAAGAAAATGTAAACAATAAACGAATGAAGCATAATATGCAAATAAGGAACCGTATTCAAGTTCAAAAATCCATAAAACAATACAAAATAGGAGCAGAGCAAACACGGACCTCCAAAACATCAGAGGTAGGATCAGGTGCCATGGAGTGAGCACCCCCTGCCCTGCGGTCACACCCGCCGTGTGCTCCATGTCATGATCGGGAAGTAACGGAAGAAATCTGTCGTCAATTCAGTGTATAAATAATGGACTAACAATAAGTATGAAAAACGTCAGTCAGCATTTAACTCAATGATAAATTGTATTTGTTGTCAAGGTCATTGTGTCGACCATAGAATTTACGAAATGATTACTTGAATGTCTTTACTGATATTCTTGTTTCTTCAACATGTTTGTCAACAATTTACCTCGTTTTAGAAATTGTTCTTACGTAGAGCATGCTCTAGCGTATCGATTCAAGTGAGATATAAACTCCTTATGCAGGTGATGAGGGTATACATGTATTGCTTCATAACATGCTTTGTTTGGATTCTTTATCGTGAAATATAACAAACAAACTGCCTGCAATGTATTCGTTATTTTTGACTTAGGTATTTTTTGTATATCATTTTGCAAACTTTCATTATTACTTACTTTTCAGCACTTTGGCCACATACTTATCCCCTCGTGATGTGGTATTTTGAGGATGATATCTGATTTTATAAATATCAGCAAACCGTCCGCTTGTTAGCAAGGTTTCCAAAACAACAGAACTGTGTGGAATTATATAATCGTCCGAGGTGTTAAATTCTTTTCCTCCATACAAGTATATGTCATCCTGGTCTTCGTACGTCATATTCTAAAATGTTAAAGAAATACACGTTATTCACTTTTCTCTGTAATGAAAATTATTCAAAATATTTATTCCAGCATGATAGCATCCTGGGTTTTTTAAAATATGTCTTCAAAGATGTCAAAATTCGTTGCCGTCGTCTTTAATTTTGTTTAAAAAAACACAGTGGGTTGTTTCGTACTAAATTAAGACTTAAATAATTTTAATATTAAAAAAAACATCATGGGTTGCCTTTGTGCAGCTTTTTAATTTAATGCAGTCATAAATGCGACAGTACACATTTTCCAAATATTACGATTTTAATGTAAAATTAACATCTGTGACGCCCTCTGGTCTGAAAATGTGATTTTACGCAATAATGAGGAAAAAAACGCTGAAATGGCTCTCACGACGTCATTGTTTTCCGATTTTCTAAGCAATGCACGACCCTGAAGAATGACACATGACTAGCTTACATGTATATGTTCAAGACGTCCATGAATATTGTACTAAAAACTGATGACAAAACATCAAAAGAAAATACTATCAATCTAAACTTTCTGTTCTCAACCAAAGTAAATTCACCTGCACCACCGATATATATTTATACCGCAATAAAGCAATTTAAGAGTTTTCGTCGTCGAAAAAAATAAACTTTGTAATTAATACCTAGATCAACCTACATGTGGATGCAGATGGTCAACTTTTTTTTAAAATTTCATAATTTGTTAACTACAATGCATTTACGATAACTTTCATTTACTTGACTGAAAGAGAGATCTCTAGGGCAGGAATACAAAAAAATATGGGAAAATATGATATTTTGGTGCTTTTCCAACAAATTTCCATAGAGTCCAATAGTAAAATTTGACAACTTTTGAAATAGCCCCCTGAGAAATCGGGGTGGTAAACATGTATTACGATTTTTAATCTTAAAACAACAAATATAACAGTAAAAATTAATTAACGATTTTTTTTTCTAAATCCCTAGGGTGGAATTCATTCGACTCAGCCTCGTTAAGAGCATGAACTTACAAAATGTGAAGCTGAGAATCGATTCTGTATCCTCTCCCTGACCACCGTGACTCTCCTCTGTATGTTCTGCTTAGCCACCGTTAACCGGCCTGTCCTCCACATTATCACACCAGCAACAATGATTCCGAGTAATAGAATCATTACTGAAAATCAGGATTATCACAATGAAACATCTTCTTACAGTGTAAAACTGCAGAAAACAAACTATTTAAGAAACTGTGTTTTGAGAGAATTTTTTTCTTTTTGGTATTTACGACAGAAATTAAATTTTTACGAATTACATATATTGAGGTATATATTCTATGAAAATGTTTTCGGAAAAAAAATGTTTGCCATTAGCTCTCGCCAGTTTAGATATTTTAAAATAAGAATGTGCATTTATATGCTTGTGTAAATTTTTCAGTGAAATATAATCTGTGATACTGTTATTACATTGAATTGATTCAACAGAAATTATTCTATATTATTTTTAAGATTACCGATTGAAATTCCCGCGATTCCTCCAGCAGTCAAAGCAGCCGGTGATTCGGTTGTTCGGAATGATAAATAAACCGGATCACTCTTTTGTGCTGCGTATGCTGTGACGAAGGATAAATTATAGACTGTTTCAGCATCCAGACCCGTGAGATCAAAGTAATCAGCATCCTTATCAACTAGACGGGTGTAGGTTTTTCCATCTTTTGCTACAACAAGGACAATAATCCTGGTCCTCTCATAACAGCTAGGCGTGACTGTCCACCTCAAACGAACACCATTGTCGTATGTATTCTCTATGTGGAGATTTGTCGGTCCTGAATCTACAATTTGTAGTAAGATAATCAATCAAACAGTTTAAGTAATAGACACAAACTATTTTTGAGGGTTTGGACAGGGTTGCGTTTAGAGATTTATGTACAATTTAAAATCGTGATCATTATTTAATTAAGGAGGAATGTCACATAAAATTTTCATTTCATAAATCTTTCAAAAATTATCCCTATTAATTTTAATTTTAAAAAACTTACGGTTTCATCACTGAAAGGCCGATATTAGCTCTTGGCTTTTTAAAAAATGTTTTAGCATTTTTCCGTATACGATGAATATAAATGTTTTTAAGTTTTATGTGAGTTATTGGTGTGTAAATCACACAGATTTATCATGTAGGTATATTTCATGAAGCGTGCTATCTATACCGTTGGTCAAAATTCTGGAAAAAATAGTGACAGCTAAGGGAACATGCTAGTTAATCATACAGCGGTCATGATTTAAAAAAAATAGAATCTCCACCATGTCAAAAAGCTATTGCAAAATTTTTGATCTTTTCTTGTCCAGTGGTTCTTGCGAAGATTTTTTTTAATGACACAGCCATTTTTTTTAGGTGTTATTTTTTTCTTGGAAGAAAGTTGGATCCTTTATTTGGAAAACAATTTATCCCTTTGACCCAAAGATACTCTGTGCCAAGTTTGGTTAAGATTGGCGATGTGGTTCTAGTGGAGGAGATAAAATTGTAGATGATGACACTGTAAAAAGATTTACGACGACTTTTTCAACAGAGGAACTCAATTGAGCATTCGGCTCATGTGAGCTAATTAACCTTAAATTGTTGTTCTAAACATGGCACCTGATCGCATCTCTGATGTTTTGGAGGTCCATGTTTGATCTGCTCCTATTTTGTATTGTTTTATGGACTTTGATCTTGATTGCTGTTCGTTATGTCCACATCCTTCATGATACTAGTCTGTCGACGTTAATTATAATTCTCTCAAAAATAAAACTTACATTCATCAATCCCGTCAAGAGATTCCAAGTTTGACAGCTGAAATTATGATTTTGCATTTATGAACAAAAAAAGAAGTATAATTTATGTTGAAGTTGAATTGATATGAATAAATTCCTTTAATTACTCTTAAAAAAATCATTTTTTGTTAATTAAAATGTTTTCACCAAGTAATTTGTACAATGAACATATGTACCATTTTCATATACGTTGTGGATTCCATGGCTCTATTATATACAGTTAGACTCAGTTTGATGGATTCGTTTCGGAAGGATTCTTTTGGGACCACCATCCAACAGTTATCTATGTCCAGGTAATGGCTGTAGTAGAAGTTGTCTCCCATAGGTACTTCATATCCTTCCTTAAATCTCAAGGTTTCCTATAAATTAACATAATTGGTCTTTATATAATCTGCATCATTGCAGAAAGTATGAATATATTTAGCCAAACTATTATCAGTTATGAATAAAAAATAATAATATGGCAACAGAATTTAAGGTTTGTACCCTAGTTCAAATTTGAATGAGTTGACTACATAATGATTCTGACTTTGGTAAAAGAATTCCTTGATTTTGATGGAATAATATCATTTGAACGTTATCTTTCTTATCAGAGGGATATTATACATTTAAAAAAATAAAATGTTTGTTTGCCCTCTTCCTGAGGATGAAAAACGGATCGGTTGATGGACGATAATATTCCCCCCAATTTTTTTGTCAATCGGTCCAGAAAGGGAAAACCAAACAATTTTTAGGTGACCTAACTCTTGATTATTTAAGACTTGATGGTAGTGTGACATTACTTTCAGAACAACTTAATGAAATTAAAATAATGAGAGCTTCATGAAATATTTTATTTATACACAATCTGAAAACAACGTGAAGTCTTACTTTTGTTATGTTTCCCGGCATAGAGCCAGATTTGAAAAGGTCCCCCGTCTGATTTGACGAGAATGTCCAGTCAATTTTGTGAATTCCACTATTTCGATCAAGCGTATTTACGAGTAAGCTGCAAATCAATTTATGTATTTAAAAAATTCATCTTGACTTAACAGCTTCATGAAATCTAAAATGGGACAAGAAAGATTAACTTAAACCTACCGACTTGTAAAAGGGAATGTAGAATTCTTTAGATTTGGTAAGAATATAACATCATCAGGTGTTAAAGGTGCTGGTGGGGTTTCATCGAAGTAAACATGCATAAGATCAAATCCTTCATTTCCGAGAACGTCAGTGGCTTTGACCCAGACGTTTAAGCCATCTCCATCACGTCTAGAAATATTGAACGTTACAGTTTCTGTTAAGTCATCAATGGGTCGCCAGCTTGACGGAGTTTGATTTCCTTGGTTTGCATGAGCAAACTGGTATTCAAATTTGACGATTCCGTGAATATTCAGTATTGGCTTCAGTGTTCTTTCACCGTTATTGTCATCTAATTTAGGAAGTACACGTTTTTGAAACTTTTTATCATGATCGAAATTTTTATATTCAGACACAGGTATCAAAAGTTTTTCATTCTCGTGTAATACGTTTCTGAAGTGTCCTTTCCAGGATATCGATATATTATTCTTTAAATTATTTTGCCATTGATAATTTGTCTCTTCTACGGCACTTGTTGAAATCATTGGAAAAGCTGCTTCTTTTGTGATTGATGACGTATTGTCGTACAGGACAAGAGTTCTTGCATATTCTGAGTTATTCGCTCTGTCTACGATGTTCAGTATGAAAGAGTACATCCCTGGCTGTTTGGGGGTATAAGTAAAGGTTCTTTCTGATTTGTCTAAAGTAAAGGTCTGTGTAGGGCTCCAAGGATCTGGTTCTGTTAAATTTGGGTTTATATTCTGGTTCGGTTGCAGTAAGAATTCTTGAATTGTGTATTTTCCAATTCCAGAAAGAACATCAGTCCAGCCGTCCCATGAGAATTGAATCGGTTTCTAGTACATCAACAATAAAATACGTTTAACATGTTTTCGCCTGTATATGTTTACATGTGTAAGTAAGGCATATGGAATTTCAATATATGGAGAAGTACATATGTAAAATTTCATTTAAATAATTTATTGTAAATATAAAATACATGGTTACTGTCTTGAAATATAAGCGATATTTGGGCGAGGGTAAGAAAACGTGATAGAGGGCTCGGCAAGCCTCGCCCTCTTACGTTTTCGACCCGAGCCCAAATATCGCTCATATTTCAAGACAGTTATCATGTATTTTGTTTATCCTGCAACATATTCTTTACATTTGAACGTCCAAAACTAGCTATTTTCGACAGATTTAGGCACATCTCTGCAGTTGAAACTATGACGCCATGGCGTAAACATTGCAATATACATGACGTCACAATGCCTTTAGAACGTCGGAACACATGCACGAGGCAGGCTTTATTAGGGCAGTGACCGGATAAAGCTTTGGTTTATTAGGTTACATTTATTAGGTCAATGCAAGGGGTAGTTGCAGGATTGATTGATTGATTGTATATTGTTTAACGTCCCTCTGGAGAATTTTTCACTCATATGGAGACGCCACCACTTGCCGGTGGAGAGCTGCAAATTTTGTCCTATAATCGGCACTCAGGGCCATTGAGCAGGGAGGGATCTTTTTCGTGCCAGCACCTACTGCGACACGGGACCTCGGTTTATACAGTCTCATCCGAAGGACCGGCCTCCACGTCCCACAGTGGGATTCGAACCCACGACGTAAGGATTGACTCCTTACCTCGCGATTCTAGAGCAGACGTTCTAACCACTGCGCCACACGGGTAGTTGCAGGATAATAAAGATATATATACACATGAGTAAAATCATTTTTATAATAAATCGATTTTTTCAGTTGTGTTTAAAAGAAGGATAATCAAACGGTTACCGAACTATGTAAGTAAATTCCAAAAAAAGAAATATACATGTATATTACCTTGGTAATATCTTTGTTAACAGTGAATGCTTTGGAGGAACATCCAGTCTCTAAGATACAGTGATAAGGGTTTCTAAAGTCAAAGCGATACATCATTGATTTACTAGAATTGCGGCCAATAAAGGGATCTTTAAATGATGTTGTTAATGATGTTGTTGACGATGTATTCAGTTTCCGATATCCTCCACTTTGGGCAATAACGGTTATTGTTAAACTACAAAATAATAATAAATAATTTAGAAATATTTTTAAATTCTGTGTGAGTAATGGTGGTTAAATCACACAGTTATATATCACATAAGTATGATTCATGAAGCGCGTTGAATATATGCAACTGTTGCCGAGATATTGAACGGAAAGTAAATGAAGACTGAATGATGGAAAAGGTACCAGCAACACTATTAATATACGCCTCGGACATTTAATGACCAGGGGCGGATCCAGCCATTTTGAAGGGGGGGGGGGTTCCAGGCTTGTGTCCCTCTAACCCCCCTGATCCCCCCATACACATTGTCAAGCAAATATTCATACACACGTATGGAAAGATCTTAAGTTGTGGTAAATAATAAATTTGTTTACGTCCCTTTTTCTTTGAAAAGGTACTCCCAGTCCGAATAAAAAAAAAACAAACAAACAGGTTTCAAAAACTACTGTAGCCTTGAAATTGAATGGATTTGCAGCATTTCCGAAGAGTACATATATACCCAACACGGCCAAAGATAGCGGAAGTATCAAATTAAATCTCACATGTAACGTATCATATATAAGATATATAAAAATAAGTAGACTATTTTCTTCCATTCTCTCATTTAATAAAGGTAATAATAAAGGTGAATTGAGGAAACTAAATGTGTGAGAAACTATCTATTCAATACATAAGTTAGACGTACAAATATCTATTCTCGGAAAACGTTTTATCCTCTCTCTCTTTCTCTCTCTCTCTTACCACTTGGCAGAAAATAAAAGGGGAGTTCCAACCCCAGGAACCCCCACTCTGGATCCGCCAATGATGACGGGGGTATAAAATTTAAAATACTAAAATTAAAATAGTCGACAGGAGTTTGTGACTTTGTGTGAGAACTACAAAAGAGAACTTTAATTTGATACCATATGTAACTTAATACAGTGACTTCAGTATACATGCCAAGTTTCGGGAAAACCTACCGATCAGGTATTCAGCTATTTTTAATGAACCGTCTCAAAAATACAGGGACATTTGCTATAAGATTATACAAGAAAGTGGCCATTTTGAAATACATTATATGCGAAACACACATAAATATGCCGTCGTCATCTAAAAATTTATTCAATTTCCATGCTTTTATGGAATACTACAAAACATGACAGATACAAATGATTAAAACAAAAATTATATAAATGATTGAGAGAATATGAAATTTCTATTGTTTAAATTTCAAGTGCTTATTTTTAAAATTAATTGTTTTGAAAAGTTTTTATGAATGTTTGAGGATCTTTAGTTTATCATAACGTCAAAACGCACACTTTCAGATGTCAATCTACCTATCAGCTTAAAAACCTTTAAAAATATCAGTTATATAGAATTTTAATTAAGTATTTCAACCCGTAATTTGTTAATCATGTGAAAGAGGTGTTTTAAAACAGTAAAAATGTTTCCTGTTACTAGGATGCGCGAAGAAATGCGCAATGGAAACCCCAGTCGGCCCCCTTAAGTTATAACCTGATTTTCCGTATAACTTTGATTTCTTTTTTTTATACAATACATAAGAAATGCTATTTATGTTTGAGTTTTAATGTGAAGATATTTAATATCTCTGATAGTAAACAAGTAATTCGTTGTGTGATTGAACTTTACAGAGAAGTTTATTGTCGAGACAAAATATAATATTTTGATTAATATTAAATTGTCGAATTTTAAATGTCGGCAAAGACGCATAATCACTCTTGGTTTAATAATTACACGTTTCTTTTTTAAGACTGAACACTCGACTGAGTTTACACAGATCTAAGACTAACAAATAATAAAAATTCAACGTTACTAAACTTAATGTTTCCACTAAACATCTAGAATTAACACACTGTAGAAACATTGGAGTTCAAGTATATATACTTATCGCCGTCCTCCAGAAGTCGGTCAAAGTCAAAGTGAGTAACGTTGCAGGAATATACTGATGTGTTTGGATTCATCGAGCCTGGCTGATTAGGGCATGGATAAGTCGTACTATTTAAGCTGACATATGCTTTACTTGATGCGTCTAAAAAGATAGTTACAATTAAAACAAGAGGCCCATGGGCCACATCGCTCACCTGAGCACTAAGGGTAGGAAAGAGTAGAAAATGGCTTTTTATTGTAAAGTTTAAATCCAAAAGTAGTCCCATGACCAATCATGGATTTGCTATTTTTTAGAAAATGATTTTTAAAGAATTTTCCTATATATATCTTTAAAAACTTTGGTCGGCCATTTTGGCCCCGCCCTACCCCTGGGGGTCATGATTTGAACAAATTTGAATCTACACTACTTGAGCATGCTTCCATATAAATATGATGAATTATGGCTTTGTCATTCTTGAGAAGAAGATTATTAAAGAATTTTCCTATATATTTCTATGTAAAACTTTGGTCGGCCATTTTGGCCCCGCCCTACCCCTGGGGGTCATGATTTGAACAAACTTGAATCTAAACTACCTGAGCATGCTTCCGTATAAATATGATGAATTATGGTTTTGTCATTCTTGAGAAGAAGATTATTAAAGAATTTTCCTATATATTTCTATGTAAAACTTTGGTCGGCCATTTTGGTCCCGCCCTACCCCCGGGGGTCATGATTTGAACAAACTTGAATCTACACTACCTGAACATGCTTCCATATATATATGATGAATTATGGCTTTGTCATTCTTGAGAAGAAGATTTTTAAAGAATTTTCCTATATATTTCTGTGTAAAACTTTGGTCAGCAATTTTGGCCCCGCCCTACCCCCGGGGGTCATGATTTGAACAAACTTGAATCTACACTACCTGAACATGCTTCCATATAAATATGATGAATTATGGCTTTGTCATTCTTGAGAAGAAGATGTTTAAAGAATTTTCCTATATATTTCTATGTAAAACTTTGGTCGGCCATTTTTGAACAAACTTGAATCTACACTACCTGAGGATGTTTCCCCATAAGTTTCATCTTTCCTGGCACAGTGGTTCTTGAGAAGAAGATTTTTAAAATATTCCACTAAATTTTCATTAATTCCCAATTATTTCCCCTTGAATGAGGGCGTGGCCCTTCATTTGAACAAACTTGAATCCCCTTCACCCAAGGATACTTTGTGGCAAGTTTGGTTGAAATTGGCCCAGCGGTTCTTGAGAAGAAGTCGAAAATGTGAAAAGTTTACAGACAGACAGACAGACGGACGGACAGACGGACACCGGACAAAATGTGATCAGAAAAGCTCACTTTAGCCTTCGGCTCAGGTGAGCTAAAAACTCGTTTTTCGACAAAAATACATCAGAAGAATTATAAAACTTACTTCGAGCCACTTTAGTAAGATCTAACTGCAGCCATCCACCGACGATTCCAAACTCAAACTCGTCTACATACTCTGGTTGGGTTGTAATTTCAGGTGGAGTGTAAATTGCCATAAAATCTGCATTTATATAATTATAGTCCTTCTGGCTTAACCAAAGCATGTCGACCTCCGTAGAATTAGGCTCAGAGGAGTCCGTCATAAATCGATACATCTCTCGCTTTTTGCCTGTTCTCTCTATATTGGCGAGGAATGCCGAACATTTAGTAATTATTGCTGTATTATCAGCTTCAACTGAAATTAAAAAAGTCGTTAAATGTCTTTTATTATTTGAAATTATTTTTTTTCTCTGTTTAGTGACCATTCATCTACCAAAAACCTATCTAAGGATCACACAAAAATGACGCCATTTCCACGATTTAATCGCATCAAGCTGTTTTTCTAGATTTACTAATATTGAGTAAAATTAAGACAATAAATGCTTATAATACATCTATCTAATATTGATATCTGAACAGCCGCAAATGCACTTGAATGCTTATGTAAACTGACTAAACGGCGATTACAGCTCACCAGTATCCCACCATATTCATCTTCTTTGTCATTTCGAGTTCAGATCCAGGTGGTACGATTTCTTGGTTTGTGATATTTGACTTTATCAAGTCTCGCATCTATATGATGACTGATTGGCATGATTCGAGGAGGTTCAAGAATAACTCAAGTGAGAGTTTGAACAAACTTAGATGTGTACTACCGTACAAATACAACAAATCATGGCCTTGCTGCTCTTAAGATGAGGATCTTCGAAAGCTTGTTCGGAGCTTGTGGCCCCGCCCTACTCCGGAGGTCATGATTTGCACAAATTGAATGTACACTACCTGATGATGGTTCCATATAAATATTATCAACCATGGTCGAAAATTTAAAAAGGTTACCGACGGACAGACAAACAATATTTGATAAAAAAAATTCTCTTGAGCTTTCAGTTCAGGTGAGCTAAAAAAAAGCGTAAATTTGCTACATGTTAAAGGACAAGATAGGGTAACGGCCGAATTTGGCCCCTTATTTGATGTAAAACCAGAACTTTGATAAAATTGTGATAGTTTGTAGTTAAGAAGTTAAATTGGTGCTTACTTTAAAACAACCACTAATTAAGATTCAAAGCTTACATGGAAGCCACTAGAGGATGCAGAAGTAGGACATTTTCCAGAATTTTCTCAATGTTGGTGGAATTTCATCATATTTGAGATACTTTTCTCTTCGGAAAACATAGAGCACACGCTTGCCTATCTGAGATTTTTACACATAAACTGCATCTGATACTAGTGTACAAAATATATAAATTTGGTAGATAGGCAAGCTTGTGCTCTATGTTTTCCGAAACAAAATGTGCTGTAAAATCGATGAAAATTTGCATAAAAATGAGAAAAATCGAAAATTGACCTATTTCCTGACCTCTCTGTGACCTCTGTATATTCTAAATCTTAGAACCAATACTCATTTTGTGGCAGGGGTGACAACAGCTTTTTATGGATAAACTTTGGATCATTCTGAAAGACACCCAAAATCGGGGGCCAAATAGGAACCTTACCCTATCTTGTCCTTTCATTAAGGGAAAATGTATAAATGATTGATATGAATGTGTTAAATTTGAACCGGTGGTTTCAGATATAGTGTATATTGGCGATTTAATCAAAATTCAATACCAAGACATGTAGGCTCCCAAGTAATATAAGTGACAAAAGGTGTTCCTAATTTTTGACAAAATATGGCAAAATCATGGCGTAACGAAATCAGAGCAAATCGACAAAACTGATTTTAATTTTTTTATGAACTTTATAAGAAATGGGTCAAACAGATTTCCCAGATTATCTTTAATTCTTTTATTGAGACGGGTTGATTAAGGAATAATTATTAGAGATTGCAAATGTGCCTATTAGATTGTCGGTTATACTTGAGAAGAAATACCACTTTAACGAGCTTCATGTGTAAAGTAAGGGTAATCAAGTTCAAGGAATACTTTAACAACTGATACGGTGATTTTAAATATGTAGAAGACTTTGATTTTTTTAACATGTTTAGTTGCATCTCAAAAGTTAAAAATGTAGGAAAATCGCGAAGTCAGGACAAAATACTGTTTAATTAAAGCTTATCTAGTTGATTATAACAATTGGTGTTGCCGATCGCATCAGTGATGCCGATCGCAGGTTTACATTTGTGCTATATGGTCTCATCCGAAGGACTGATCTCCGCGTCCAACAGTTGAATTCGAACCCGCGATGTAAGGACCACGTCCTTACTTCGCGACTCAAGAGCAAATGCTCTTACCAGAAGACAAAGCAACACTTTACTCCGTCAGGTGTATATATACATATAGCTTTATTTCTATTTCAATAAAAGTATGATTTAAAATTTTGAAAATCGGTAAAAATAAACTGAAACTCACATGATTTACATCTTTGGAGTCCATTTTGTCCTGTGAAACCTGATGTGCACTGACAATGTTCTAAATCACTGCATTCTCCAGGGAAACAGGGATCATGGTGAGCACATAGTGCTGCAATGTAGTCAGATATGATAAAAATATTAGCAATATTAAAATGCTCTTTGTTTGAAAATTACTGATGCAGCAATGCATAAGCCGATTTAGCGGTAGGTGTTTCCTAAGTAATGAACAACGATCAAATGAATCAATATATGGTTTTTAAAGAATTAAAGGAGAGAACACTTAGAGGATTTTAATATAATTTCATTTACATAAATTATAAAACTTCCAATTTTTTATTAAAGGTACTTGGACACAGATTTGAAGTTAATATTTTCTGTATAATATCCCGAATCATATATTATAATAGCATATCACTAAAATTAATTAAAAATCTTATTTCATTTAAAAGTTATTAAAACTTTTTTGGATTAAGGATTAAGAATAAAGTTAGAATTTGTGAAAGTGCAAGGATGTGTCAATCAAACCCTCCAAAAAATAAAGTTTTAATAACTTTTAAATGAAATAAGATTTTTAATTAATTTTTGTGTGAAATGCTATTAGAATATAAAAGTCGTAATATTATATATATAGAGAAAATATTAACTTAAAATCTGTGTCTAAGTACCTTTCATTGTGTATACAGTTTGAACTAAGAACAAGAGTCCCAAGGGCCTTGAATCGTCTTCTCATATATTGTACAACCAATCACTTTTCTGTATAATATCCCGAATCATATATTATAATAGCATATCACTAAAATTAATTAAAAATCTTATTTCATTTAAAAGTTATTAAAACTTTTTTTGGATTAAGGATTAAGAATAAAGTTAGAATTTGTGAAAGTGCAAGGATGTGTCAATCAAACCCTCCAAAAAATAAAGTTTTAATAACTTTTAAATGAAATAAGATTTTTAATTAATTTTTGTGTGAAATGCTATTAGAATATAAAAGTCGTAATATTATAGAGAAAATATTAACTTAAAATCTGTGTCTAAGTACCTTTCATTGTGTATACAGTTTGAACTAAGAACAAGAGTCCCAAGGGCCTTGAATCGTCTTCTCATATATTGTACAACCAATCACTTTTATTTGAATTCTCTATATATCTAGTATATTTTGATATCGTCTTGATATTCCAAAAGTAGGTCATTTAATTATGATACATTTTGGTTAACACACTCTGAGAACCCAAGATGAATTAACTGACAATTTAGAGACAAAGTGTGATACTTGTACTTCAGAGTCCCTTTTATCTACAATACTTAGTATAGCCATGAGGTTTTTAAAGTAGATGAAAGTGACTTACGAGGGGTGTTAAAAAAATTCGCGAACTATCTCTATATTGACGAAACCACAATGAAATTTCGCAAACATAGTCATACACATTTTCTATACACGATTCTTTTTCACAAGTTTTACAGAGTTATCGCGCTTTGTCACACGGCGGCGTTGTCGTCGGCCGCCATTACGGTGCTGATAATTGTGATAAGAGTGTAAGTAAGCACTACAAATAAATGGGTGACAAATACATTGTTTTCTTTGTTTTCCAAAGTCGGACATGCTGAGATACAACTGCAAAAAATATGTTAGTATAGTTAATAAATTTCAAGAGAAGATATACACGTGTGTGTTTTTTAAATCAAGTTTTCAATTTCATTTTATTAGTTAACCTCCCGTAGGTATCCGAAACTTTTTTATTTGACGTTTAGTATATAATTTTATACACCATGTGCTGGTTTACTAAATAAAAATAATTATCAATAACAAATAAATTGAAACAAATTAAAAAAAAATATTTCGTGTTAACCATTTAAAAAAAATATGTCAGTCGAGAAAATCTATTCTAGACGACCGTCGTGTTATTTATCCAATTTTACCTTGCGGATATTAATTTATTTAATACTCTATAAAGTGATATACTAAAAAATAGATACTTTCTATTCTTCTTTATCTGATTTTAATTACAATTTCCATTGACGTATATACAATCATGTATACGAACAGCCCGCATGCCGAGAAAATCATTTTACGCCCCCCCCCCTTTTCAAAACATGACTTAGTTTCATATATTACATTTATAACATCTGAGTAGGAAAAATTTAAACAAAATCCTCATATTATTTTAGAGTGTGCTGTAATATTAAACACGATCATCGTTTTTATGAAATGATTGCACACATGTTGGTTGTGTGAAATCATTAAGGAAAGAAAAAAATCTTTTTAAAAAATGGAAAGATAAGCGTTGCGTGAGCATGAAACTGACTTGCATGCTGAGATATATACACTGTAATACACATGTATAAATAACTTAAAACTTCAACCGCATTTAACTCAAATCCAGTACACATGAAGCTGTATAAAAAAAACTACAAAAAAAAAGAAAAACGGAGAAAATTGGAGTAATTTTAAAATCAGTTCTGGATTTATCGTTATACTGGTATAATACAGGCGTCGATAGCAATTTAACCTGAAATGGAAAGGATATCAAGGCAGGGGAAGGTGATACATTAAATAAATCAATGATCCGCTTGATCAACATGATCAACCTGTAATAATATTGAAACCATGCACATGTATCCCTAAAAAATTAAGTCAAAAAATATTCACAATGACAGATGTAGATGTGTCTGGCCTGGAAGAGATTTTGTCGTCATTAATAAATTTAATTTAAAGCCCTTGGCACGCAGAATTTTTTTAAATGTGAAAAAAAATACGAGAAGGGGTAAGTTAAAAGAGGAGGATCAATCGTCAACTCTATCGCCCCTCTTTAAAACATCCTAGATATCCACGAGAACCTATGGATAATGAATAACTGATTTAACACGTACAGCTTATAACCTGAACTAGAAAAATAATCATCGCAGAAATGAAAACAGGAATTTTAAAAAGTTCCAGTCGTACATTTGTTTGTATTTGTATGCTCATATTTATTTTCCAAAATGGCTTTACTACGCACCTGTTATAATTTTACTCGAGACCCCCCCCCCCCCCCCCTCTCACTGTGTAAAAGATATAATATTCTTACATTTTTTAAGTTTTTACCTTTTAATCTTGCAACATGTAAAATTTATTTCAAAGAAAACCCGGCTTAATATTTATTAAACCGCTGAAATACGGATGAAATATAACCAACTCTGCATTTAAAACAATAACAATCAATCGTTCATTATTTATTTTAAAACATATCATTACACGAACAATGAAGAAAAAAATAAGACCAAATCAAAGAATGAATCAGTTAACTTTTACTTCATATGAACGCGTGTTTGTATTTAAGTATATTACGCCAAAAAATTGATGAATAACGGAGAAAAGTTACTGCATTGAGTATGACCGAATTATGACGTTATCAGCACCTTCATGGCGTCAAGTCACGTGATCCAAACATGGCGGCGCCCATAAATAAGGTCAGAGAATAGAGTATAACAAGTAGAGCTTTTTTTAAAAAGCTTCCCGTCTTTAGCAACAATCTTAAACTGTAAACTGATCTACACCTATCAGGCCGTATAATTCTTTTGAATTTCTTGATTTTGTATTTCTACATTAGCTTTTTACAGGCATTAGCCCTACCACGGTTGTCGCTCGGTCATCTCCGTAAACTTTGACTCGCCGAGAGCTTTCGGCAAACCTCGGCTGATTCCATTTCCTTCTTCAAACAAGAAAGGGGAAAAGAATAATAACAAATTGTAAAGCCTGCAAGCAATAAAAATCAAATTTTATTTATAATGAAGTTAAAGAGATCTTTTTATTTTTTGCTATACAAAAAATCATGTTATTAGGAATTAATTACTGCTGATTTTGTTGTTCGTTTTGTCATTTTTTTTTAAGATTGAAAATCTTGCAAAATTGTTAAGTCGTACGAAAATTAGATCATCAAAAAGTTATCTCCCTTGCCTTGAACAGCATTTCAACCAATGAAATAATTGAAAATTTTCTCATCATGCATTTTCTACCAATCACAAAAGAGAGGAAGTGCATAGTCCGAAGACTGTAAAAAACTTCAACTATACAATACCGTCTTCCAAGGAAGACGGTAAATAGCATATGTAATGGAACTTTTTTCCGTGTTTGTGACGTCACAATGTGTAAATGACGTCATAAAGTAGATCACTTGTAACAAAAAATGGTTGACTTAGTCGTATTTGAGAAACGAACGGCTGTAAAGTAAAACGTATATCTTGGAAACTCCTTTGTAGAAGTTTATAATAATTTGTATACGGTTTTTGAAGACAAAAGGCTTGTCAGCAGTTTTGTCTTTAAGTGGATTGATTGTTTAAGTGAAGGAAGGTAGATGTTTAAAAATGACGTCTGTTCTGTTGCCCAGTGAAAGCAAACTGGGTGAGAGACGTGTCCTTTATTAAGCAATTTGATATGAAAGATCCCAACTTACAGTTAGAAAAGTAAACAAATATCTTTACAATAATATGATTATCAAAACCATAAAATATCGTTTACTTTAGACTTTAAACATATCAGATATGATAAAGTGAAGGCACCCATACTTTAGCCACATGAAATAAACGACGCTCAAAAGACAGAGAACTTGGGTTTTGATGATCACCATGCTCATTCTGCAAAAGGATATCATTATCCACCCATACTATTATCAAGATTAAGTCATTTCTAACAAATGGACTTTTTTTGTTGGAAAAAATAACTTGCATGGTAAGAAATATAAGAGTCGGAAAAAAATTTCAAGCCTCTGTGACAGAACGCCAAGGAGCATGTCACGTGACCGCCTATATCACGTGATCCGCGCATGGGCAGAATGGTTGCAGGTGCGCATTAAAATCGGAGAGGACTACTGTGAAACATTTTCAACACTGAAACACTTTATCATTTCTCTTTTGGAAGTTATTCAATTAGTTCGCGAACTTTTTGCTCACCCCTCGTACTTCTGGTATACATAGTATTACTCCAAGACTCAAAATCTCTCAACTGACAAAGTTTGATGAATTTGAGAATCTCATTAGATACTGCTTTTTAGCCGGGCTTATTGCTCAAAGAGCAATTGCCGGCTTATGTGATCCTGTTCAAGGCAGGATGTTGACCCCATAGTCGCCATTTTAAAGTTACGTGCAAAAATATAGTTCTTACTCTCAACCGCTTTTGAGATAATACAAACGCTTAATAAAGCAACAAAAATAAAACGAAGTTTTATCTATATAAAATAAACATTAGTAGTAATGACTTTGAAACTTCATAAGTCAAAGAACATAGTTCATTAGCGTAAGGATTTTTGATAATCAGTGTTACCGTAGTTCTCTACACATACGAGGTAAAGCAGGAGAGGGAACCAGACTGGCCTGTTTGTTTACATTCAGCTGCGGTACCAGATTAATTCTGATTCTGACAAAATCGGACCGTGGTATTAAGATTGAAAAATTCACTGTCAGTGTCTTATCATTTATATTGATATTTTTAAAATAATTTTTTAATCAGAATATAATCGTGATTCATGTAAGAAATCCACTCTACTCTGTAAATGAGCCCGGCTCTTTGTACTTCTGAGTACTTTGATTAGTTAACGTTCCCGTAAAACCCAAATGCATCAAGTGACAAAGTTAGATGATTCCAATCCAATTAGTGCATCCTATATATATGCATGTATTTTAAAAAGTAGGTCACAGTGATCACAATCACAAATGTTCCATATCCAGTCAATTTGTTTGAGTCTGAGTGAACTTAAGGGATTGATTGATTTAATTTATATTGTTTAACGCCAAGTCGGCAATATTTCAGCCATATTTCGGCGGTGAATGAAAGAAATTATGCAGCGAACAAAGACGTTAAAAAGAGAGACTAGTTTTTACCTAGACCTAGAAACTTTGTTCAAGGTCACTGCACATTCACTGACCAAAGGCACTCTGTGTGTGAAGTATGGGCAACATTGGACTAATAGGAGAAATATGTTCCGAAAAAGGATTTATTTTCACATAATTCTGTTATCGTCTTAACCTTTGACTTAGAAACATGGTTCAAGGGCACTGCACACCCTTTACCCAAAGGCACTCTGTGAGTGAAGTATCAGCCTAATTGGACCAAGGGGAGAGAAGATATGCTCCGAACAAGGATTTTTCATATAACTTTGCTATGACCTTAACCTTTGACCTAAAAACATGATTCAAGGTTACTGCACAGCCTTTACTCAAATGCACTCTGTGAATATGGGCCAGATTAGGCCAAGGAAAGTTAAAATATGCTCAAGACAAGAACTTAAACAGGAAGGCTATTTCTGACCTTGACATGACCTTGAAACTTTGCTCAAGGACACTGCACACCCTTTACCCAAAAGGCACTCTGTGGGTGATGTATGAGCCAGGTTGGGCCAAGGAGAGGAAAGATATGATCCGGACAAGGACTTTTCATATAATTCTGCCATGACCTTGACATTTGATCCAGATACATGGTTCAAGGTCAATGCAAACTGGTTACGAAAAGGCACTCTGTGTTGAAGTATGAGCCAGACTGGGCCAAGGAGAGAGAAGACATGAACCGGAAAGGGTTTTTCATATAATTCTGCTTTGACCTTTGACCAAGAAACATGGTTTAAGGTCACTGCACACCAGTTACCCAAATGCACTCTGTGGTTGAAGTTTGGGCCAAGGAGAGAGGAGACATGATCCGGACAAGGATTTTTCATATAATTCTGCTATATCCTTGACCTTTGACCTAGAAACATGGTTCAAGGTCACTGCACAACAGTTTCCCAGAGGCGCTCTGTGGCTGTAGTTTTAGCCAGATTGGTCTGAGGAGAAAGAAGATATGATCCGGACAAGGATTTTTCATATAATTCTGCTATGACCTTGACCTTTGATCTAGAAACAAGGTTCAAGGTCACTGCAGAACGGTTACCCAAATGGCACTCTTTGGGTGAAGTATGAGCCAGATTTGGCCAATGAGAGAGAAGATATTCTCCGGACAAGAGATTTCGGACGGACAGACGGACGAACAAACTGATCGCTATAGGGCGCCCGCCGAGCGGGGCCCTAATAACTCTAATTCAATTAGTATTGAATCACTTACACCTAGCCATTAAAATTCAGAAGTCGGTCAAGATGACCCTACTTTTTAGTTAACATTCTCCAATGATCTAAAATGTATCAACTGATAAAGTTGGCTGATTCTTGGCACGTAAATACATGAAATATAAAAAGACCAAAAATGATTCAATAAATTTCAATGATTCAATTTTTTTAAACAACTAGTACTTTTGGTTTTATTTACCTGAATATATCCCCTTATTTGAGGATCACAACCCTAGTTGTATTAACGGTAAAGGATACCAGGAGGCAAATTTGACAATCATTGCCAAAAGGGATCTTAATTTATAGTCCATGTTCTAAAAAGTCTACACACACAACACAATGGTCAAAGCATACGCCTAAGGCTTAGAAGAGCTAGAAATACTTGAAATCTCAAAAAACATAATAATCATCCTGTATCTTGAACATTATATGTACATACGGGTTTGACATATATTTCCTTTGTATGTTTCTGGACAGGAACACTTGTCGGGAGCTACACAAATGCCTTTGTTCAAACAATTTGGAGAACAGACAGCTGGAAAAAAAACACGATTAAATTAAGTTTCAGAAAGAAAAAAAAACAGTTACTAGGTTCGTAAAACTGGCAAGGTTGTGCAAATTATACATTTAATGATGTCGACGACCCTTTTCTCTTAATTGATTTTTCCTCTATCAGTCTAGTTTAAGGTCATCTGAATCACTCAGCTGACCTGGTGCTATCTCTTGCCGTATGTCGTCAGTTAACAATTGAAGATTTTTAGCTTCTTCCACTCAACCAATTTTGGTTTAAAGAATCCTTGCGTGAACGGGAAAAAAATAATGTATTTCATGTTCCCTGCCCTCTGGAGCCCCAGGGATGGGGCTAAAAACCCAAATTTGATGCAATCTTTAAAATTCTTTTTCTTTACTCCTGGACATCAAGCAGTTAAACTGTTTCTTGGTTGTAATCAGCATGGAGCACCCTTATTATACAAATCGACATTTACCTTTACATCTCTCGTCTCCCTAATCTTTTTCAGCATATAAAACAAGTATTTTTCTCTATTGTTGCCAGCTACTGAGAGTATCTGGCTCAAACTAGATCACATGATCAAGTATAAAAAGTGTTATAGAGTGGGTGTTTCTATTTTAAGAAAAAAAGACCCAAAATTGTTTTCTAAAATATCATGATTTTATTGAAAAATTTAACCAATGATGTATATTTTATTAGATAAATTAAAAAGACGATGTTCATTAAACGTTTAAGAATTCATTGATGTTTTTAAAGCGGTTTTGATTTTATGGCGCTAGTCCATGAACTTTCCCAACAACCCTCGTGTTTTATATGAATGCATACTGAAATAAGTATTCACGCAAGGTTACAAAACCCGCGAATATTTTTTGATGCGAATAATTAATTGGTGAACAGTATTAAAACATTTTCCATTCATGGAAATAAAAAAAAATATAAAGAACCTGTTACTTTTTGGGGGTCTACAAGAACTTTTTCTTTTGTGTTTTGTTGATTTCTAATTTTGGGCATTTCATACCCAGAGTATCATTTGCATTCGAAATAAAGCTTATGATGGATTATCCTCACTGGGACAGTATTTTCAGTTCATCCATGCACACACACTCACAACCACACCTTCGTCCATCCACAATTGAAATAAAGAATTAATTTACATATCAAAAGTTGATAATACCGGCCGGTGCATGCTGTACAAGATTGAAATTCAATATATACAACTATATTATGCGAACATATTTGCTTGAAATGAGTAAATAGAATATTTCAAGTGTTCTTACGTGTTCCGCAAGTTTGTCCTCTATACCTAGTATTAGAACAGTCACAAGTGTGAGACGAGGTACATCTACCACCATTAATACACGGTGGACTACAAAGAGCTAAAAAAAATAAGTTATATTGTAAATTTTATTTCATGGATATCCACATAATTATTAATACAAGAAACCGAAAGAAAGGGTAACAATAACGCCGTTGTTATTCATGTTATTAGCAACCTATTTTTGAATTCATATGTAGAAGACTTTGACCAGAATCCTATATTTGAAAAGAAGAAAACACTTGTTTCAGCTCGACATTTAGATGTAACGATGACGTATTAATCAATGAACAGTGGTTATTTCCATTCATATCACAGGCACTTGTTTTGAAATAAATTTTTAACCCATCGTATAATAATAAGACAAGGTATCTTAGTTTCATAATAAGCCCAGAAATTCTTAGCAAATACTTACGTTGCTTACAGAGAGGTCCTGCTTGATTGCTTGGACACTGACAAGTGTTGGGACTAACGCAGGTTCCCCCATTTTGACAACCTGGACTACATACAGCTATAAATTAAAGATTTCCTGCTGAATTAGTTTAATTCATATGGTTTTAGAAACCAAAAGTCTCTGTCGACACTGTAGCTCTACTGGTTTGTACTTATAATAAATAAAGGAAGAGAAAAGAAGCCATTGCCATTAGACCAAATCTGTAGGAGGAATAGCTTTTTAAAGGAATATCACAGAAATTTCTATTTTTAGTAACCATGGCAACACCGTTCATCGAAATCAAAAACCGGTGCAATAAATTATGTGTCATAGTGTAGTCTACTAGTCTGAATAAATTTATTGAAATCAGACCAAATCTGTAGAAGGAGTAGGGTTTTTAAAGGAATTTCTATTTTTAGTGACCATGACAACATCATTCTTCGAAATCAGAAACCGATGCACTAAATTTTGTATTTTAGTGTAGTCTGCTTGTGTGCCAAGTCAGACCAAAACTGTAAGAGTAGCATTTAGAAAAAATTGTTATAGACAGACGGACAGCTATACAGACAGACGAACGGACGACGGACACCTTACTATCGCATAAGCTCTTCTGTAAAAACCGTTAAATTGTTTCAACGTTTACGAGAAATAAAGATTGTCAGAGACCTTCAAATCAAGGGAATCTCTTCATGCTACAAAAAAGACATATTATACTTAAGCTGATAATTTTCGTTGCTTTTGGGAACGGGGTCGTTTTGGAGTATGTATATAATCTTGTATATCTGAAGAAAACATACTGTATGGACTATGGTATAATATGCTTTGTCATTCATTTTACATTGAAGTGGGGGAAAACATAAAAATTAAGGTTTCGAAGTTTAAATGCCATACATATACACAAGATACATGAGGGAGGTGTATACCTGGATCCACTGATGATTCAGAATGTCATCCCTCAATTTTTTTATTATGATTTTATAACGTTTTTATTATATAAATTACGATACCAACAAATAAACATGTCAAAAAACTAACATAAACTACGATAACAACTAGAGGTACTGTGATCAATGAACTCACTAAATGATACCCCCGCCTTCCATATGATTATTATGACAAAGTTCATGTTTTGCTGTGGCCGAGAAACCCAATACATCTGTCGGATCAAAAAGTAAAATAGGAGGTGCACAATGGCAATATGTAATAAAGATTCTGTGAACGTTTCATTAAATTACACTCAGTGGTATAAGAGGAGTTGCGAATAAGAGATAGGTACCCCAAAGCATACAGATAAACGGACAGACAGACGGACATACCGATTATCGTATACCCTTCCACTTTTCAAGCGTCCTTGGCGCATGATACACTGTACCAGCTGTGATATTTCCTTAGGTGTTCACAGATTTGTATAATTTTTTGTAAATTAACATTTTTGAGATCGATTACTGTTCGTTATCTTCGCCTTTTTCATTAGAGATATTAGAATTTTGGCAAACTTAGAAATAATCTTTTAAATATCTCAAATCAGTTTTGATCTAATAGTGCGGTAATAAAATTCATCTTACGTTGTGAGCAGCGTGATCCTGTATATCCCTGGTAACAACTACATGTGTTAGGTCTACTACAATAGCCATGCTGACAATTGGGATAACAGATTGCTGTTTATTTAAAAGAAAAATATACATTAAATTAATATTATTCAAAACTTACAAACAGTGTACTAGAAATTTGAAGGAGAAATAAGTATTTAATCATACGTGTTTGACAAGAGTTTCCTGTATACCCCGAATTCAAAGGACATCTACACACGTTAGGGGCTACACACACTCCTTGATTTTGACAACTACAAATTGATAGAAAACCAAGAGATACATTTCATTGAGAAACACACAGAGAAAGTTAAAATACATATTGGCCTCATGACAAGCCATCTGTTAGCATTTTACACGTGTAAATCTTCACATAGCATAAATGTACAATATTAAATTGATAATCTTGTTCGCATTTAAAATTATACATTTATTGACGGAGTTTGGGGGTAAAAATGCGTGTTTTGTTGGATTTAAGAAACACACTAACCGCTAAAGCAAAGTTTGTTTCGAGGTGTCGACAAAGCGCATTTTGTCTGAGAACACTGTCAAAAAATGTTTTGTTATACCTTTTACTTCTTTTACTTTTTTTTATTTTGACATATGGTGTAAATTTGGTTTCCCCGCACTGCGGTTTAAATTAGGTAAATTCCGTAAAATTCTGTCGAACTTCAAGAAATGCATTTCAGATATAACTGACTCTTTTCTCACTCTGACATAAGTGGTCCAACATCTCGTCGACATAAAGTGCAGGTCCAACATTTCACTCTGAGATCAAACCAACTTATGACCGCTCAGTGAATTTTTGGAAACGTTAACATTTTTAGTATAGAACAAAATATATGTAATTTTTTAAGGTATAACAATACATTACATGTATTTACATTTTGCTGAAATTTTTAAGAATGACCTATTTCAGTTCGTATATAAGTAAATTCAGAAACAAAAGGCTTCAACTCTGTTTACCATACATGTAACTTAAAGCTGACATGAATTCCTAAAAACGCAACATGTTCATCTATGTACGACTTGTTTCATACCAACTTTAGCCGTATTCCGCCATATTTCTTTCAGAGACCTTGTATCATTGTAACGATATATACCCAAATGCGCTCGTTACACTTGAATGATTTTTTGGTTTGGGTATCGACTTGTGCACATCTCCGATGGTAACCGTAAAGCATATGAGAACACATGAGGAGATCAAGACATTTCAAAACCACAATAAACAACACAATAATCATATTTCTGAATAATTATTGATTTGAATCAAATGAAAAAAATGCAAGTTTGGTGAGAAATTTAGATGCACGAGTACGTATTTTTACAGTGCGCCAATTTATGCAGAATAAACTTGAAATAAAAAGCAGTAAAATCTGCAAACACCATTTGAAATTATATCATTTGAATGGAACAAAACAACCAACGTCTTTGATTTGCAGCCCCTATGCAATCGATGCATATCGAGAAAACGCCTCGAACGCTGTAAACGTACCCATACCTGGTAATAAGGTTACTGCATCGGTTCGAAGATGTGCACAAGTCAAGTGATATACACCCTGAATTCTATTTATTGAAATATGCATCACAAAAAAGAAATAAACTCCACAAAAGCTCAATAGTAAACACACTGTCATTACTCCGCACAGACTAGCACGTCGATACACTTAGTCCGTGCATGCTGATCAGATTTTGGTCAGGGAAAATATCACAATTGGAAAGAGAAATTATTTGGTATTTGCGCGGCTGAAAGGGGGAGGGGGTTAATTGTGCTATAATTGTGAATTGTCTATCTACATGTAGTTCTAATATACATTCAATACAAAGTCATGAATATACTAGTAGTCTGCAGTTGGTTTGCGTCGCAAAATTCATTTGTCAATTATAACTGATTATTTTAGTAGTAATCTCAAATCTAAACCAGGTAATTTGATGTACGGTAATTATTTACTTCAAATCTTAAAAGCAGTTAACCAGAATACTATTTTTTTATGTGTACATAGATCTATACGTTCTTTAACACACAAACACACGAAGAAATGCCATCTCCTGTTCAGATTGACATTTTGGCATTTGATTTTTTAGGCGGGGGGAGGGGGGGTGCAAAAATAATTGACATTCTTGGAAGACAGACATCTCTGCCGAATTCAATTTTTCACAATTTTGAAATTTTTTTTTTAAATGTGTCACTCCGACCACAAAGTATGTGCATTTTGAGGAATGTATAAATGTTTTATAATTATGTTGTTTTAGAGAGTCTTTCGATATTTCAGTATCCCTGCCTGATAGTCTAGCTATTTTTTTTATATAAAAATAATTTCTGTAGCAGTATTTGGGAGACAATTTTAAAAGCTAGGGTAGGGATTCTTGACACTGGTTGAATACGGATAATTTTTATTTACTCTTTTGTATACTGAACTCTCTCTCTCTGTAATCATCCCTTAGGGCAATAATAGGTATAAGATCCTACGCACTTTGTGCTGTACCATTATTAAGCCTTAGGACAGATCAAGGATTTTTTTTTCAGGCGGGATGTCAAAACTTCATAAAATGAATAATAATTTTAATTTGGACAAGAAGTTAATCCAAACGGCCAAATTGAAAGAGAAACTAGAGGTATTGAGAGCAATGAGCACACTAAATGATATCCCCGCCTCCCATATGGTTATAATGGCAAAGTCCATATTTTGCTGTTGTCGCTAAACCCAAAATAAGTGTCGGATCAAAAAGTAAAATAGGAGGTGCACAATGGTAATATGTAATAAACCTAAGATTCTGTGAAAGTTTTATTAAATTTCACTTAGTGGTATAAGAGGATTTGCGGATAAGAGATGGGTACCCCAAAGCGTAACAGACCGACGGAAGGAGATAACTATTACTATATACCCTTCCACTTTTCAAGCGGGGGATATAATAAACGTGAAACATACATCACAGGAATGGGTACAATGGGAACTTTTTCAAATACCTTCTCAAACGCATTGGCCTCGGAAGCAAATTGAAAGTGGGGGTGGGGGCTAAGTGCAAAGAATATTTTTTATACATTCAAAAAATCTGACAAACTTAAGAAAAAGGGGGAAATGTCCTTTTCCAAAACACGAATATCTTATTTCGTGTGGGGGAAAGGGGGGGGGGAGGTAGGTTCGAACTTCAGTAACAAAATTTTTCTCCAAACACCAACACTTTCCTCTTTTTTAATCTATACTGCGACTTGTCTGTGGAAAGTGGGGGGGGGCTAAACCTACGCAGCAATGTTCAATGTCTATACTAAGTATATATTTGTAAAAAAAGCCACCCCCGGTTCCGACACCTATGCTCAAACGTACGAGTCAAACCTGGACCTGGACAACAGACAAGAGAATTTTTAAAAAGCTAATTGTAGGTAAAATGTGGAATTCTCACGGGGGTTTGCTCTCTCTTTCTATCTGCTTTTTCTAGTAATCATTAATTTTTTATGCCTAGAAATTTAATTCACATTAAATTCTATTTTCATTATCATTGTACCACAGAATCAAACTCGTTTATTATACCCCTCACAACAAGTTGCGTGAGGTATAATGTTTTGGACCCATCAGTCAGTCCTTTTTTTTTGGTCAGCGCAACTTCTTATAAACCACTGCACAGAGATTTGTCGATCTTTCGAGATATTTATAGGAGTCAATGTGTGTCTAGATTTGCACATCACCAGGAAATTCCGAATTCTTTATTTTTTCGGGAATTTCCGCACTTTTACATTTAGATTTTGGCCATGTCTTGAATATAAAGATGAGCAGTTTTTTCTCAGCGCAATTCCTCATAAACCGCTGCACACAATTTCTTCAAACTTAGCAGATATTTAGAAAACAATGTGCATAGATGTGCATATAACAAGGAAATTACGATTCCTTTATTTTTTTCTGGGAATTTCAGCACTTCGACTTTGGGGGGAGCGTGGGGTATGTTTTCATTCATTGTGCATAAAATTATAAATAACTTTAAATCAAATTATATTAGGTCTAATAAAGCCAATACACAGTATTTATTTGATAATAATTGATCAGAAATCAATCTGTTTCAGACGTTTTTCTTAAATTATTTTTATGAGAGTGTTAATATGCATGTTTTATTACACCCCCCCCCCCTCCCATCACAGGAAAATATCTTCAAAAGGTGAATGATTCGTAATAACGCATGCTTTATTATAAATTAAATGAAGTTAAACCATGTAATCATAAATTCTATTTGCAACATTTACAGACAAGAGTAATGTTTAGTTTTGAAAAAATTACTTGCATTTTTTTCAATCAACCCCACTGAGCTTTCAACCTTTGATATTTTCCCTGACCAAATAAAATGATCGGCATGGGCCACGTGTGTCCAAGCATCTTTTACTGTTGAGTTAGCAATGGATTACATGACTTCTGAGATGCATTTTTCAATAAAAGTAAAATAGGATAATTCTTTCGACATGTGCACATCCCTGTAACGATAGCAGTAAATTCAGGTAAATGTTTTATCACTGCGTTTGACGCGTTTTCTCGACCTGTATGGATTTTTGCTGTACATGAATGTATTCCGTGTTAGTGTATTTTCTATATTGCAGCAAATGCATTCAAAAATAATTTAATTCTCGGTTTAGTTCTATTTTTTTGTTGAATTCATGTATTTGGTCAGTTTATTCAGTTTATGGACTTCTAAAAACTATGCTATCGGAGATGTGAACATGTCAACAGCCAGGCTAGAAAATCACTCAAGTGAAACAATTCTACAAGGCTATATATAGCAGGTACGGGTGGCCAAAAATCTTCGATAAAATATGGCGGAATCGAAGAAATATGGCGGACAAGGGCGTACAGGAATGTAGTAAGTCGTACAAAGATGAAAACTAATGCCTTTTTAAGAGTTCATGTCAGCTTTAACATTGGATTGTTTATTCGCATTGTTTGATTTACTAAGTTAGGAAACAATTTTGCAATACTTACGTGTGTCACAATTACTTCCTCTGTACCCAGGGCAGCAATTTGTTACCCATTCGTAATAGGAACGTGTTACCCATCGGTGATGTGTGCTTTAAATAGACCAATAGAAGAAATTAGAAGAATTTATGTTTTTGAAAGTTTTCGAATAATGCTGCGATTCCATTTTTTTCAAAAAACGTTTCACATTAAAGAGTAAAAGATATGTATAATATAAAGAACGAGATGGGTTCTGTATCTCAGATACAAATTTTGGAGTTGGGCTAGTGCGTAGCACGAGTCGCCGCCCCGAAATCGTAGCTGCAGAACTGCTCTCCGAAATAATAAATTGACAGACCGGAGAGCTACATTAAAAAACTAAATATTTATTGCGCGCAAAATTTTGCGCTTGGGTCTGAATTAATTCTCCGAAATTTTAATCTAAATTGCAATAAGCTAGATTTCAAAACATGAAATTTTTGTGTGTGCACTTACCACCAACCCCACCACCGACAGGAGCAATACCTTACTGAGTAGTACCGTACAGCTCGATACTGGGTATAACAGGCAGCAGATCTGAAACAGAATTAGACTTATAATGCTTCGAATTCTGTTGATCTTCATGTGCTTTCATATAGGTGTCTAAAATGTTTTTTTTTTAATTTTAAAATATATCTACGGAAGTGTATTAGTGCCACTTGGACACTTCACTTTTTTTTTATTTCTACACTTTAAAGTGTAAATTTTACACATTAATCTGTAAATTTTACACTTTTATCTATAAATTTTACACTTTAATCTGTAAATTTTACACTTTAATTTGTAAAATTTACACTTTAATCTGTAAATTTTACAGATTAGAGAGTAAATTTTACACATTAATCTGTATAATTTACACTTTAATCTGTAAATTTTACACTTTAATCTGTAAAATTTACACTTTAATCTGTAAAATTTACACTTATTTGTTTATTCACACAGTTAATTTAGCATCTTCACACATCCTCAGTAACACATTTTTAAGCCAACAGACCATGTTTCGTGTATGATAAAATTTAATCCTGATGTTTTATATTAAAGTAAAACTTTTCTTTGAATATAAAGTGAAGAGCATATCAAACATACACGCACATATTCCCGATCACAGGTGTTTAAGGACCCCTCCCCCCCCCCCCCAATATAGATTCCAGGGCCTGTTAGACTTTTTTCACAGAAATAATATATGGATGACACAATTGTGATATAATCTATAAATCCTATCAATTCAGAAAATTGGCTTAAACTAACATTTTATTGGCTTACAAATGTGTTACTGAGGATGTGTGAAGATGCTAAATGTGAATAAACAAATAAAGTGTAAATTTTACGGATTAAAGTGTAAAATTTACATATTAATGTGTAAAATTTACACTTTAAAGTGTAAAATTTACAGATTAAAGTGTAAATTTTACAGATTAAAGTGTAAATTTTACACTTTAATCCGTAAAATTTACAGATTAAAGTGTAAAATTTACACTTTAATGTGTAAAATTTACAGATTAAAGTGTAAAATTTACACTTTAAAGTGTAAAATCAACAGATTAATGTGTAAATTTTACAGATTAAAGTGTAAAATTTACACTTTAATCTGTAAAATTCAAGATTAAAGTGTAAAATTTACACTTTAAATTGTAAATTTTACAGATTAAAGTGTAAAATTTACAGATTAATGTGTAAAATTTACACTTTAAAGTGTAAAATTTACAGATTTATGTGTAAACTTTACAGATTAATGTGCAAAATTTACAGATTAAAGTGTAAAATTTACAGATTAAAGTATAAATTTTACAGATTAAAGTGTAAAATTTACAGATTAAAGTGTAAAATTTACAGATTAAAGTGTAAAATTCACAGATTAAAGTGTAAATTTTACAGATTAAAGTGTAAAATTTACAGATTAAAGTGTAAAATTTACAGATTAAAGTGTAAAATTTACAGATTAATGTGTAAAATTTACAGATTAAAGTGTAAAATTTACAGATTAAAGTGTAACTTTTAAAGATTAAAGTGTAAAATTTACACTTTAAAGTGTAAAATTTACAGATTAAAGTGTCGAAATTAAAAAAAAGTAAAGTGTGCAAGTGGCACTAATACGCTTCCGTATATATCTCACAACTTTTCATTTAAAACAAATTTGATATTTAGTTTTTGTGATGAATAAGTAATCTATTTCTTGTCTATATCAGGTCTACATAAAATTATGAAACAATCAATGAATTAAATTCGTATACATGTTTACATATATGTAACAGTATTCTGTATTCATTAATGACTACCCTTAATTATTACTATCATTGTACAATAACACCTCCCCTTGTCACGTGGTTAATAACGTGGAAGCCATGCCAAAAGCCATGCCTGTTTTTACTTCAACTTTGCTACTCATTTATTGATACAGTACTTCGTGAAACAATATAGGTTTCCTTTGATTGTATGATTGATTGTTTATTGTTTTAACGCCCCTCTCGAGAATTTTTCACTCATATGGAGACGTCACCGTATGCCGGTGAAGGGCTTCAAATTTTACTCGGCACTCATGTAGGGCCATTGAGCAGTGAGGGATCTTTATCGTGCCAACGCCTGCCGCTGACACGGGGCCTCGGTTTTTAAGGTCTCATCCGAAGGACCCGGTTTCCTTTGAAAAATACGCGTAGTGTCCAATTTTTTGTTATAATAATATACTTTTACACTGTTGTTAAACTAGAGGTACTGTGAGCAATGAGCTCACTAAATGAAATCCCCGCCTCCCATATGGTTATACATGTATGGCAAAGTCCATGTTTTGCTGTGGCCGGGAAACCCAAAATATGTGTCGGATCAAAAAGTAAAATAGGAGGTGCACAATGGCAATATGTAATAAAGATTCTGTAAAGTTTCATTTAAATTCACTCAGTGGTATAAGAGGAGTTGCGGATAAGAGATGGATTATGGACTCTAAAGAAGGCATAAAAAAGAACACCTTGACAATGTTAAAATAGCGCAATAAAAGACTAAGTGGCATAAATAATTTAGATTGTGCGTACTGGTCTTTGCTGACAAACTTAGCAAATAAAAACGTAAGGCTCATTATATAAAATTTATTTAAGAGGAACTTGGGTTAATTCTGCAGCAAGTAGTAATCAAATTGAAACTCATATCTCCCTTTCTAAGGAGGAAATTCTTCTTTAAAATCATGTCAGTTTTGAATATTTTTAATTCTAAACAACCAAAATGAATTTGAGTTACCATATCCGTATTGGATACACTCTTTAAAGACAAAGATACCAAGCGGGTTCCAGTAAATGATCAGCAGCCATGTTTACGAAGCTATCTTAGGACTAAGAAACGTCTTAAGATATACTTATGACATTTCTTAAGACTAAGTGTGGTTTTCAAAAGTATCCTAACTTAAGAAAGTTCATAACTTTAAGAATGATCTTAAAGTTAAGACAGCTTTTGACATATCTTTAAAAATGGTCGCATTACAGTCATTCGACATTTTTAAAACGTGCTAATTTTAGCGATTTTTTATTTGTATTTTAACGAGAGTATTCAGACACACCTAGAAAAACACATAATAATGCAAATTACACCATTCTGAAACCAAGTGCCTATGATTGTTGCTTCTCGACGAAATCGTCGTGTCAGACGTGACAGAGTATTTTGAGATATTGATAACCCTTTTGACTACCTTCATGATGAAGCTATAATGAAAAGGTATTGGCTTTGAAGATCCTTAATTCTTGATTTATGCCTCATGCAGATGCATACATACTATTAGTAAAATGTAATATATTGCCTACAATGATTTTTTCTTTGAAGAACTTGTAGATACGTTGGAAAATCTTGAAAATAAAATATATAGTTTCTCCACCTCATCAAATTATCATATGGCATACCTATTTCACAAAAAATGAGCTAAACATAGTTTCACAGTTGATAAATTAGGTTGATCGACTGTATACTATATAGTTTACAAACCGTGAACTATAGTTAACAATTCGCTAACTATAGTTTTCATCTGTAAAACTATATTTGACGATTGTTAACTATAGTTTACGAATCCTAATCTAAGATTATCTGTATGTAATAAAACGTTAACAATAGATTTTTTTTGCTAAAACATATAGATTCAAGTCTGTAAACTATAATTTACAATCGTGAACTATAGTTAGGAGTTGTTTATTATAGTTTCACAAATCGTGAAACTGTATTTATCAGATAATCTATGTTTTGCAATCGCAAATACTTGTTTTCAATGTTAAGTAAAGTTGACGGTTCTGAAACATAGATTGTTGCGTTAACTATGGTTTACGGATGTAAAATATAGATTAACGTTATGGCACGCCACATTCACAAAAATGAGATAAACCTAGTTTCACAATTGATAAACTAGGTTTATCGACTGTAAACTATAGTTTACAAACCGTAAACTATAGTTAACGATTCGTTAAATATAGTTAACGATTCGTTAAGTATAGTTTTCATCTGTAAAACTATATTTAACGGTTGTTAACTATGGTTTACGAATGATTATCTAAGTTTATCTGTCTGTAATAAGCGTTAACAATAGATTTTGTTGATAAACATAGATTCACGTTTGTAAACTATAGTTTACAATCGTAAAGTATAGTTAAGAGTTGTTAATCATAGTTTCACAAATCGTGAAACTATATTTATCAGATCGTTAACTATAGTTAACGGTTTGTAAACTATAGTTTACAAATCGTGAAACTGTATTTATCAGATAATCTATGTTTTGCAATCGCAAATAATTGTTTTCAGTGTTAAGTATAGTTTACGGTTGTGAAACATAGATTATCGCGTTAACTATGGCTTACGGATGTAAAATATAGATTAACGTTGTTAACTATAGTTTACAGTCCGTAAACTATAGTTTACAATCGATAAACCTGGTTTATCGACTGTGAAACTATGTTTAGCTCATTTTATTGAATTTGGCGTGCCATATAACGTTGTTAACCATAGTTTACAGTCCGTAAACTATACATGTAGTTTACAACCGATAAACCTAATTTATCGACTGTGAAACTATGTTTAGCTCATTTTTGTGAATTTCGCGTGCCATAAGCAGTATTTTGATTTCAATCTGAGAAAATTTATCGCTCTTCTTTCGACTCATCTGCTGGGTGTTTTCTCGTCGAACCAGAAATTGTGAATGAGTAAGGGTTCCACGGAGCAAATTGGTGCGCTTTATCATCTTCAAGAATGAATGATTAAATTGTACTCTATTTGAATTTTATGTTTCAGTATATCGTCGAAATAAGATGATTATTTTGAAAAATAAAATATTTATATTTATAGATTTTTTTTGAAAAATAACTATTTCTATTTTTTAAACTCTTTTAAATATTTTCAATACGACGACATTACGTCGTACGTTTAGCATTATATAGCTAAAATGCCAACCGATCTCTGATTCCTGACTTTGGTTTAAAACTTTGCGTATTGATATTTCATAATGATTTAAGACGTCTTAGTTTAGGATAATCATAAGATAGCTTTGAAAAACAACATACGATAATCTTCAAATTTTC